CCGTGGGGGTCACCGCGAGGGGCAGCGGGGACACAACCCGCGTCTCGGTGCCTTCGATGGTCGCCCCAGGAGCTCGTCCCGCCCGTCCTCCCCCGCTCCCAGCGCCCCGCCGCGCTCACCAGAACGGCAACGAGATGCTGGGGGGGATTTGGGGCCTCAGCCGGTACCCGGGCGGACGCAGGAGCATCGGTCCCCGCGGTGGGACTCTCGGGCTGAGGACAACGGTGACGGTTCCAGTCTGGGCCCCGGCCGACGCTCAGGAGCTGGATTTGGGGCTCAGACCCACGCAGGGGAACGCGGCGTTTCTGCTCCGCCGGGCAGCAGCGAGCTGGGCCCAGACAAGGATCCCCACCTGGAACCGGGCTCTTCTCTGCAGCAGAACCGCCCAGGACCAGGCAGCCTCCCCCTAAAATCGGCCGGAGCTGTCCCCGCACCCCACATCTGCCCCAGGAAATGACCCTCACGCGGGGAAGTGTTTCTGCATTTATTTTTTATTAACCATTTATTTGTTTGTAATTGTTTTACTCTCACATTACAATCGTGTGGTTTTTTTATATATTTTTTTTTTATTTATTTTTGTAAAATAAATAGAGATAAGTGAACTTTTAGGTAGGATGCTCTCCAGATCCTTGGTTAAACTTCATGATTGAATCTCTGCATCAGACCTGTGAAAATAGAGCCCACACACGCACACGCTTAGATGAAAGCTAAACAGGCCGAGTTAGTTAAAAACCCACCTCGGGGCCGCAGGGGCCGGCTGGCACCGGGGAGCGCTGGCGGGGAACAGCAGCTTCCCACCACGCACCTTCGCATTTTGCCAGGTGTTTCTCGTTCCTTTCATGAATACACTGATATAAGTTAAAAATCTATTGTTTTTGAAGCTGTGTATGTTAACTGGTTACGTGTAGATCCCAAACTCTGGCTCCACGCTCGCCGGGCCCCGGCATGGGGCGGGTGGAGGAGGCGCGTACCGCTGGGAGCGGGAAGAGGCACAGCTCTCTCAGACCATAATTAACTTTTGGTAACTTAAAAGTGGATTTCTAGGTAGTTTTTTCTGAAGTTTAAAGCCTTTGATTCATCGTCCCGTGAAGCGGCCCTCGGCCTCCCTGCTGTGGGGGGACGGTGGCGGTGCTCAGGGTGGGGACGCAGTGCCTGCTCCAGCTCCGCGTTCAGGGACCCTCCCCGCAGCCGGTACCGACGCAGGGAGCCCGGGCCATCCCCCGGGCCATCCCCCGGGCCCTGCGTGGCCCAGCAGCCCCGACACATGTAGGAAACAGGATTATCGGGTGCGTGAGGAGCAGCGACAGGTCAGACGCTCTCCGCAGGCGCCACGGCAGAGCTGGAGCTGCCGCCCGCCCAGGGAGCGACGCTTCTCACCCCTTCCCTCAGCGTTTCCTTCACGGGCAGTTCGGCGGGAGCCTGCAGACCTCGTGGTACCGGCTGGAAACAAAACCAGGGACGTCTGGACTGAGCAGGTTGACCTTTGTTGCTGCAGTGAGGTTTGCACAGGGGGAGTTCTGCTCCGGGCCGGCGGAATCGCCCCTCGGCAGCGTTCGGAAGAAACCTGCGCTGTGGCTTTGCTCACCCCTGCTCCACACCCACCTCCAGACCCACCGCGGGTTTCAAGGGACAGAAACGTTCGTTATTCAGACAGGGAAGGTGCGGAGGTGGAGCAGGCCTTCCCCTGGACAGCTGGGACAAAGCTGTTCTGCTCAAAGCGGGACGATCTGCCGTCTTCCCCCTCTTTCATGATTCTCTGGTGCTCAGGCCACGTGTGGTTACCTGCCCAGCTCTGCAGGGACAGACAGACAAGCCACAGCCACGTCCACACAGTGTGTGCAGCTGCTTACAGGCAGCAGCAAGTGTGCAAATTCTCCTGAGCGTCGTCTTGCTGAACATGAGCACATCGGAGCAAATGAAAGCCCGTGGCTTGAACCCGGAGCCTCCCTCGCCGGCCGGGCTGAGCTCCCAGGCTACCCAACGCCTCTGTGGGGTTCACTGCGGGCAGGACAGTGACTGCAGAAGTTCCAGTGACCGAGACACCCCAGAGCTCCCCACCAGCACCGTGTGCTCGGCTGGAAAGTGGTTCCGTGAGTGACTTGCTCCAGGCTTGGTGGGACCTTAGAGATGTTCGTTCTCTTTCTTCCCTGTTCTTCCTGTACGTGCAAAATATGGTACAGTGGGATCCTGCCCTGCTCCTGCCATCTCCTCAAGCCTCTCTCCTCAGGATCCCTGCCTCCCCTTGCCCCCAAGTCGCCTTCTGTCTTTGCTTCCACTGGAGAGGATGCTGCAGAGGGGACAAGGTTCATGCAGAGGAGACGCTTTCCTGCCTCCCTTGCCCCCGCTCGGGCAGTGCAGGAGCAGGTACATGGTTCTGCAGCTGGACAGCTCGGGTCTCGCTGCCCCGTCGGAGGAATTACTGTTTGGCACAGGGTAGGCAGCAGCTGGAGGGGTCCCGTGCTCTGGTCGAACGCACAGAGCTGTAGGTGAGTCCTGACTTCAGTCCTTAAAGCAACCTACACTCCAGCAAAACAAAGAAACAAGGACTAAAACAGAAAGCCCTTTCCAAGGGTATTGCCTCATCCAGTCCTTCCAAGCTCAGGAGCCGTGTTTCTAACAGAGAAGCCAACCACTGGAAACAAAAATAAAATGTTCTTTTTCTGTAGCTTTTAGAGGATATAGCTGGGAAAAAAAAAAAAAACAACAAAAATACCAAACAAAAAAAAAAGGAGATTGTCTCTCTTCTCCTTGTCAAAATCATCAGTAGCTAAGTCAGAAAAAAAAAAAAAAAGTTCAAGTTATGGGTTGCAGCAGCAGCCAACACTAAACATTCAAGTCGATAATTTCACTATGTACATTATAGGTGAGACACGGCCCTGCCCGCTGGGACTCCCTCCTCCAGTGCCGCTGCCACGAGCCGTTATCTGATCCGCTTCTCCACTGAGTACACCGAGATGTAGTAGTCATTGCTTCCGACTGCCAAATGAGGCTGGGGAAAGAGCAAACCGGGGGTAAACACACAGGTGTCACGCAGCCACCAGAGGCACGTCGCGGGCAAAGCGCTCACGGCCGACATTTGCCGCAGCAACGCCCAGATGCTCGAAAGCTCTTAAGTGCATCTGCCAACGCAGCTCTGACGACATTTCTGCCAGCACCTCCATCGTCCCGGCGAGTTATATGCCCATTTCAGCCAGAGGGAAAAATTATGGTGACTATTAGTTGCCAACTGCTAACATAATTTTTCTAAATGACTGCAAATCTGCTAGTTAGGAGCGGTTGCCTGGACTGAAAATTAGCATTCCCTCTCCACTGAGAGGCCCAGGACCAATCCCAGCCCTGCAGACCCGGCCTGGACAGGCCTGGCTTTGTTGGCTTATTTAAAGAGCCAAAACATTTCAAGCGACGAGCTGCTGCTTTGTCCGTCCCCCGAACTGCAGGACAGCAAAATCGCCCTTTCGCTTTTCAAAACGCGGGCGCTGAGGTTCCCGTTGCCCTCGCTCCCCCGGGACGTACAGCTCCTTCCTCTCCCTGCCCAGCTGACGCCAGACCATCACCACAGCCCTTCCCTCCCCTCCTCCAGGCCCTTCACCATTCCCACCGCTCCCTCCCATTACATATTAAATATCTGTGCTTGGATCCACAAGTTTCTAAAATGATTCTCTGTCTAAACGCCTTCTTTAACCTCCTCCTGCCTCTCCCGTCCCCTCACGCTGTTTTCTCAGGCTTCCAACCCCGCTCCTTTCTCGGGGTCTCTGGGTGAGCCCAAGTCCATAATGCAGACGGGCACCTGCCTCCAGAGTAGCATCCGGACTCTCTAACAACTCCTGCAGAGCCACCTCGGCTGTGATATACTTCAAAAATTCCTTTTCACTCTGATTCATTCTAGACTTTATCAGCTTATGCCTTTAATTTCTGCAGTTCTCTCCTTTTTCTGATGTGCTGCACAGCATCAGGTCTGCCTAAAGCCTTACATAAGGCGCTGCGAGAGCAGCCCCAGAGACACGGGGCTGAGCCCAGCGTCTGCAAAGAGAATAAATAAGCACAAAAAATTCTGCCTGCTGGAAGTGAGAGCCTGCACCGCTCCAGCCAGCTCCAGGCAAATTCATCTCGGACAACTTCTGTGGCCAGAACTAGAGAGCTCAGCCAGGCTGCAGTCCGGAGCGACGGGAAGAAATGGGAACGGTGCCTCGAGTCCAGCTGCAAGTGAAAAGGGCTCGGTGGTCGGGAGCCCCGTTCTGCGCCGGGGGCACGACCCGCACCCTCCGCCGGAGCAGCCGGGGCGGCCGAGCGCTGGCCTGGGCTGTGGGGCTCGGAGCAGCCTCGGGAAAGCGGGCTGGGGCAGCACCCCCCCGCGCCTCTCCCTCCTCCGAGGCAAAGCTAAGAAATGCAAATCCCAGCACGCAAAAAGAGAGAGAGAGAGAATACAGACCCAGTGAGGATGGAAAGCCAGGCAGCTGATGGCTCCAACTCTCTGTCCCATAAAACCATCGTAGTATTTGATATTGTTGATCAGCTCCCCGTTCCCATTGTAGATGGCAGTGAACTGATTCATCGAGCCACTGGAAGGGAACCAAGAGAACACGGCGGTAACAACATTGTTGCCTGCAGCCCCTTGCCAGCTGTGTTGACCCGAGCAGTTTATCAGACCAGTGTGCAACTGGAAGCGGGGAGCCTGACTAACTGTACCATGGCTGCCTCGGTGCAGAGATGTACTGGGACCACAGCTACCCGTTACCCTGAGACAGAGGAACGCGACGGGCTGGTGTGCGCACCACTGACAGGGGTCCCCCAACAGCCTCCGGGACACGTGGCTGTGGAGCAGTTGCTGGTCCCCGCTCAGAGCCCCAAAACACACACAGGGGCTTTGAAGGGGATCCGGCAGAGGAGCGCGGGACTGCGCGCCATCGCCACGTCACCCGTGCAGGGGCTGCGCCGACGAGGGGCAAAAACCCCCGAGCTGCAGACATGGGAAAGAAGCTGCACTGTCTGCAGCGAGGTTGAACAAACAACAAACCCAACAGAACCGCGGTGCCTGCAGAGACAGACTGTCCTCTCCGCCCGCTCCAGGGACGCAGAGACGGAACCAGAACTTACCAGGCGAAGAGGTTGGCCTGTGGGTGAATGTCAAGGGCCGTCAGCCCTTTGACTATCTGAAGGACCTTCATGGACTCTGGCATCCGGGGGTCGAAGAACCGCACGTCTCCGTTGACGCTGCCAACACAGGAGTTTCACAGCGTCAGGCTGGGCCCCAACCAGACCCTAAAGCCCGGGAACTCGAGGCGTCTGCCAAATCCAGGAGACACGCACCTCTGCCCGCCCGGTCAGCGCAGCTGAACTCCCGCTGGTGTCACCCACATTTGGTGCCACCCACAGCGCACCCAGTGCTGTGCACCCAGCCCTGCCTCTGCCCTCAGGAGCGATCCACCGTCACTTGTAGCGCTCACAGCCCATCACCGAGCGTAAGAGCCCTCGCTGTTACGTCACACTCGATACCCCGAGCTGCACGTCAGACCCGAATTCCTTCTCCTTTTCACAGTAGGAAACTGCATTAGAAAACTCAGAACTGGGATCTGCTGGTACCATCCGTGATGCCAAACGTCTGGACGCGGATGCACAAGCCCTCGCTGCCCGAAGCGCCCCGTGGCCAGGCGCCACGAACCCGGCCCAGGCGCCGCCCCAGCCCTGCTGACCGGGGAGAGCAACAGCGGCAAGATACTGAGCTTGGGAGATCAGGCACCTTCCAAACTCTAAAGATTTCTTGCTGTTACGTGACTCCTCTGAAAAACGTCAGCAGCACCATGTCCGTTCGGGGTGAAGGGGGTGTATCTTCTTCTACAGCCCCGGACCCGAGGGCCGCAGACGTGGTAGATCTGAACCCCTTGTGAGAGACTGGCCGAGTGATGTACAGAAAGACAGAGAGGAAACTCTCGTACAGACATTAAGTTCCAAACCAACTCATCCCATCTTATTCTGCTGGTAGCAGCAGTGAGGCTTTTGGCACCACAGCTTTTAAAGTGCTATTTTTTTTTTTTTTTTTCCCCAAGTCACTGACGGCCACACAACTGTGAACCGCCCTACGGAGTTAAGAACAACAAAGGCATCAAGAAGCATTTGCCTTCACTTTCTTACCTCTGGAATACCCAATACTGATCAAAACGCTGTTATACAGGATTACTTACATCATTCTAAGAAGCTGCAACTCCAGCTGTCACATAATTAAATTCAAGACAAATTAAATTTGAGGTTGATTTAGATCCTAAAGACTAAATGAAAATATTGTTTGAGTGCGATCAAATGCACGGTAAATTCATTTAAAGCTTTGAACCTCGGTAAGATTGAAAAGGGTTCTGAATGTACTGGAAGAGCATGCAAGAGCTTTGAAATGGGAGGTCTGGGATGAGGGACTACGCCGGAAAACAGCCCAGCGGAGAGCAAGAGGCAACAAGCAGTCAGCAGCAGCTAGGGTGCTAGCCAGGACGTCCGGCGGGTGTTTAAGGACCTTTGCCAGCCAGAGGTGCCGCCAGCACCCGCTCAGAGCGGCCGCACTCGGCATCCCCCGCTCCGAGCCCCTGCTCCTGCGGCACCAACGCTCCGGGCAGAGCTCAGAGGGTGGGCTGAGGTTCAGAGAGCTGCCCCGCAAGCAATGCAGTGCCCTCAAGTTTTTCAGGAAATAGCTGGACCGAGACCTGGCTACGCCCTAACATTTGTTTTTCTTAGATCTTGCTGTCACTGGAGAAGAGAGTGAACTGGGAGAACCAGAGAGCAAAGTGGCTTGGCTCGACCACCCCAGTTCCCTGGGCACGGGACCCGCGCTGCCTCTTGATGGACAACATCCTCTCCTCCCTCCGCAGGCCCGAGAGGAAGCCCCTGTGCTGAGAAGGGCGCTGAGAGGAGGGAAAAATCGAGCCTTCAGCCCCAGGCTGGCCAAGCACACAGGCCTGACCCCTGGGATTGTTGAAGGAGATTACGGAAAGGAAGATTAAAACCTCTAATACGTGAGCTTGACAAAGCTGGCAGCTGCACCACATAATCCCCGTCCTGAAAATCTTCATACATTTTTGCTGGCCCATCCCCCACGTCAGGAATGTTCCGAATCCCAGAAAATTATGTTTTGTTTTCATTTTGCAATCAAGAAAAAGAGCCTCTTTG